TTTAAAAAATTTTTAGATTTTTTTTTTTTTTTTTTTTGGTTTGAAAATGTGGGGGGTTTTTTTTTTTTTTTTTTTTTTTTGCTTTTTTGTTTTTTGTTAATGTTTTTAAAATAATTTACCACATTGTGATTTGGGTTCTTTAATAAGATTTTATATTTCTATTGTGTTGAAAAATGTGTAATATTAACAATTGTTTCAAAGAATGTTAGGAAATTGTTCAAAATATATCAATCTGAATTCTGAAAGAAACTGTCTCTTTCTGTTTGTGTCTCATGTCTCAAGCATGGATACAAACAGTGTGCGAAGCCTCAAGGACTTACCTTAATATCCGAGACTCATAAGATATTAGAAATATTTTGCCGGACAAAGTAATGTTTGACAGCAACTACATGGTGCTTCATGAGTCCCTTTGGTGAGAAATATTCTTCCATAAAATCTCATTACACCACTAAGAAAACAGATCTTTTCTTGGAATCTTTGAACATTGGAAATGCTTGTCTCTTTGTACCACTTGCTAGCTGAAGCCCATCCAATCTAGTTGGATTTAAGGTTCCAACTTTTCTTTTCATTTTTAAGTGTTTGTTGTTGTTTTACAAATTATGCATCATAGAAGTCACCTGATTCCTGTTGGGATCAAAGATTAGGAAGATTCTATTCAGCTTATTTATATAGTGCTAATTCACAACACGTCATCTCAAGGTACTTGACAATAAAGAGGTTAATATGATACAGTCATACATATTTTCCAATTGATTCCAGTAACATTCTGTTTGTTATTCAAAGTGGTAAAAAAAAATTACAAACATTTTATAAGACTATGCATATTTTGTTTTTATGCATTTCAGATTTTCTTATATCAGTTTGACAATTATTACCAAACTACCTCATACTTACTTTTACTCTTAGAAAAATTTTAATAGTTTAATGCAAGTTGAAAATTTCAAACAGTCATAAATGTCTTTGATGGTTCCTTCAATCAGCAGGACCGTAAAAACAATCTTGCTGATTGTTTTTACAGTGGTGCATTTCAGAACAGATTTTAGTCTCTTGTTGTTCAGCACCCCAGTGGGAACAATGCTGTCGAGCTTCTTGTCCATGCTTCACTGTTTTATAGCCAACACTTCTACAGCCTGCTGTTAATGAAAAACTCTTTGAAGCAGAAAAAAAAACAAAAGGATTTAACACAAGTAATGGTAAACTGTCACTAGCTGGAATATGTTTACATATTTTATACACAAAATATCTTTTGATATTTGAGGATTTTCTTTGCAGAAACTCCTTAGACAAGCTCACTCATCTAAATTACATAATTATTAAATTACTTTGATTTGAGAGCAGGGGTGATTAGCATGCTAGCTCTAATCACTACCAAGCAACAGAATTGCCTGTTATCATTATGAGCTACACAGTGTGGGCAGGTGAAGGATGGATATTGTGAAGTAGCTGCTCTAAAAACACTTTTTGTTTAACCTGTTTGGGCCTAGAAAATGTCACTGTTTTCATGTGGCAAATTGAGAAAATGAATTTTTTCCTGTTAAAGTGAAACATAGACAACTTCTTAAATTGAGCATAAAAAAGACAAGGATGACTGTACATTCTCCACCAGTATTTTTGTGCAAACATGCCAAAACACTACTGGAGAAGGTCATGTACTAAAGCCAGCACCTGCTGCTGTGTCCCGGATTAGACGTATTCTCATTTTTTTTCCACACTAGATTTTTTTCAATCCATTTGCTCTTTGCCTTTTGATAACAGTATGTTTTCACTATATTGTTTGGTGAGCAATGGAGAAAGAGAGAACTTTATAGTTTTTGGAACAAATGTTTTGTGAGTCATAACAGGTGTTCTTTCATTGTGTCATTGTTTTATTTTTATGGTCATTCAGTTGTTGAGTTGTTCATTCCTTACTGAAATATCCTTCCATTCTTTTTTGTTTTTTTTCACATGAGCCATTTTGTTCTATCAGACTTCAGGTGAATAAACTAAACATTTTTGCTTTCAGCTGACTTCCTCCTTTTACACATATAAGACTCAGAAGTTCAAAAGCTAAAAGAAACCCCTCCAACTGTCCTCTGCTCATTAAAGATGCATGCTTTTATCTGGAGAGAAGACATGGTGTTGCATCCATAGCATTCCTGTGAATAAATGCAATCAAAATTCAACATCTGCATCCTTACTCACATTGGCTCTGATACATTTCCACATACACTAAAGCACATTAGTGCTAAGTGTATGTGCCACCCTATTGTGATACATGGTGGTGGCAGCATCCTGCCTTAAAGGCCCTTTGCAGAGTAAAAAGTCTCCGATTGGTGGAGGTTCAAAGGAACATTGCTGTAACTAAATACCAATTCTGAAAGAAACTTTTTACTTCATCTGTTAGCTGGATGGTGACCATAAACATACAACTGAACTGATGAGAAATTGATTTGGATGAAAGCACTTTTATTTTGTAGGATGGTCCTGTTAAAGTCCAGAAATTGAACTAATTCTTCAAGTTAAAAATAACTCGAGTCTCTTTTATTTAAAATATGTTTGCTAAATACAGTCAGCAAATCTAAAATGTGAGTGACCTAAATTCTACTCTATAGGAGAAGTTCTCTCTATTTTCTGGGAACATAGTGGCATTTTATAACACAACCGAGTAACCATACTACCTTAAGTTGTTATGAAAATGATTTATATATACAAAACAACTCAAACAAAACATGACTTTGCATCAGGCACATTGAAATTGGCCTCTGTCATTTTAAGAACCTCCTACTAAGTGTTCTCCTACTAAGTGTTCTCATCAGAAAATTGCATAGTTATATGATAATTTGTGATATTATAATTGTCAGAGTATAATTGTCACCTGTAATGTTGTGGCTGATTGGTGTTTATGCACTAATTAAAAATAAGCTACTTCATTATATTAAAGGGAATCTTATTAACCCTTTTCGTCTCCCTGTCCCATCCTTTGTTCAGATGAAAAGGCCTGCCCCTCCAAAGATTTCCAGTGCCGTAACGGAAAGTGTGTGGCACCCATCTTTGTCTGCGACGGTGACGACGACTGTGGGGACGCCAGCGACGAGGACAAGTGCTCTTCCCCCACCTGTGGCCAGCACGAGTTCCGTTGCAATGACTCTGAATGCATCCCCGCCCTGTGGAGCTGCGATGGTGACCCAGACTGCAAAGACAAGTCGGACGAGTCCATGGAGCGCTGCAGCCGCAGGACGGAGCCCCAGAAACCCGGCTGCCCGGGCGAGTTCCAGTGCGGCAGTGGAGAGTGCGTTCACATGCACTGGAAGTGTGACGGCGATGCAGACTGCAAAGATAAATCGGATGAAGCAAACTGTCGTAAGTCAGCTGTGGCTGTATCAGTGTTTGTGTAGTTGGGAGTGATGAGTGGGTTGACAAATGAGTGCTGAACACAGCCGGATGATAAAAGGATGCTGATGTTGTCATTATAATTGCTATCAAACAATCTCTCACAGACCAAATTTATTCTGCTAACAATTGTCTGTGTTGCCACAGGGTGATATAGTATTCCCCCAGGCAAATCAGCATATACTGCGCTGTTCTGAGTGATTAGAAAAACAAATGAAATAGCCCATCCACTAAGGGCTGACTTTATTAAAACAAAGATCATGAAGTTTATTTTAAAATGTTCTTTACATAACTGATTTATTTTCAGGAATAGTTTCTTTGTCAGGGCACATTTTAAAGCATCTGAACTAACAATTACATAAGTTGATGCTAGTTCTAATAACAGATTATGCTATCCTAATGCTCTGTTATGGTTAATTCATGTAATTTATCTGTTCTATGCACAGCCCCTCTTTGAAGGTTGAGCTCATTGTTGTATGGATGTGATATCAGTAGAAATGCATGACCTGCTGTATAATTGTTCATGTGTGTCGCTTTCCTCCACTGGATGTCTACACATGAAAGGCTCACCTGTAATTTATTTTGAACAAAGACTTTGTGACAAATGTGCCACCAAATGACTGAAGGAAGATCACCGCTAACTGTATCACCATGATCCCTGGGTGTGTTGCTATGCAACCATGTGATCTTCACAGGCTGAAGAAGAGCGCCACGTTTGACCGTATGTGTTTTCTGAGTGTGTGTGCGCGTGTGTGAGTGGGAAGTGAGGGTCCTTCATCCAGCGAGACCCCCATCTGGTCTCCTCTTCACACTCCCACACACCACTCAGTGAGATCACAGCAGCTTCGCATGTAAGACATGATATGAGCACAGCCACACTGTGATGAATGCTTCCACAAAACTCAGACCGATCAAGATCTGAGTTCTGTGCATATCTCAGAGCAGATATGCAGTGAGAACATATCTGCTCTCACATTTAGAAACACAGATTTGTGGGGTTTTATGCACAAGATAAACAGGTTAAATCTGGACCGGTGAAGAACTTCTAGGCTTGCTCACACCAAACCATTTTGATCATTTTGATTTGAAACTGTTGAAACCCGGACAGCTCCTAAATATCATCAGCAGATATCTGTGGCAAGACTGCAAATAAATATAAATACAAAGCATGAGGCTAAGAAAAAACAAATATGGCAGAGACATACCTTGAGATATTGATCGGTGACCGGAATTGCACAATTTTCAGATGATCGGCTCTGTTAAGTGACCTCAAAATCGGATCTTTTTCCAAAGAGTGAACACATCATATTTAAACACTACCAGATAGAGTGGACAGCACCTTTTCTGCGTGGACATGTTTTTACTAAGCTCAAATGTCAGTGAAGTATTTGAAAATGAAGCCAGATATTAAAAATCTATTTGAAAGGAGACAGGATTCCAATGGTTCATTCACCATTGGTGTCAGACTGTGTTTCTCGATTGATTTTTACCCAGAAAGCACATGGGCAAAAATCATGAGTGAAACGGTCACTGGGACTAACTAGTATATATTCCACTGAGGCAATGTAACTATAATATATTAATTTCTCATATGTTAACATAAAGGCTCGTTTTGAAGTATAAGTTGCTACTTACAGGCATTGCTTTGAAGAATTCAACCTGGAATGGGGCGTTCATAACAGACACGTGTGTTCATCTGCTCTAACCACTAGCAAACAACAGTACTGATTACTTAACATAAGTCAAGCAGTTCCCTAAAAGTCCAACAGATGGCAGCAATGCGCCATGCAAAACAAAACACCCACAGCTAAAGAGCCCCCTGGTGGTTGAAGAAAAATCCACATATAAACCGGAAAATACAATAGATGAAAAAAAATCTGAATGCTCTCTGGTATTGTTCAGGGGGCCGGACCAAATGTGGCGGCGGGCCGGATCCGGCCCGCGGGCCGTAGTTTGGGGACCCCTGCTTTAGAGACTCTAGCTGTGCAGCTCGTTGTTCGTTGTTCGCCTTGCGAAGAAAAGGAATAAAGTTCTACAAGCTTTCATCTGCCTCCTCCTTGTTTGCCACCAGCAGAGCAGAAAACCTTTAAGAGCTCGTTACCAGCAGACGAGCCGAAATAGACTTACTAGGTAACATAAGGCTAACAAGGTCTACGGTTTCTATTGGAATAGCAATGACTAGACAAGCTACAATATCTAGACGGACGTCCACACACCATCATTAGCTTGGACATTACTCCTAAAAAAGTCATTTTCATCTATAGAAAATGTAGATTTCTATTTGAACTGTGAGATTTTGAAAGGATGCCAACAGAGCATGACACAGGACAAATTTCAGAGTCCTGTTTGCTGAACTTCTGTAACTTCCTGTTACCTGCTGAAAGTCTTGCTCTCTCTCACTGCCCCACTGGATGAACCAGACATTTCTCAACATGTCCTTGAAAACAGTTTTCTTTCAAATAGTGTCTTAAATCTCATTGATACTGATATGTGTCTTTTTCCCTCAGCAATGGTGTCCTAACCAGAGAGTATAATCTGGTAATGTTTATTAATCTGTTTTCACGGTTAAGAATTTCCATTCAGACAGTAACTGGTCAGTCCTTAACAAGTGAAAAAGTCATATGATTCCATTATATTCTTATCTACCAATTTGTTGTTTTAAAAAAAACTTGCCTATTTGTTATTTAATTAATCCTGATTAGACTGTCCCAGTATTTAACTTGTGACTCTATGTCCTCCTTTTTGTTAGAAACAGAACATGTATAATTAACCTGTGGCTTTTAATTAAGCAGAAAATACTTTGACTCTCTAAAGCTGCTTGAGTCACTAATGAAAATGCACTGAAGTTGCAAAAGTTGTTTTAAAGCTTATTTTTTCAGGTCTAACACTGCCATGAAGGAGTTACAGCTTTAAAATTAGAATAAAAAACAATTTGGTCTGTACTTGATTTTATTAATAAAACAAGACTGAAAAGTGTTTAACAAAACAATCTGAATGCAAACCATAATTGGAAAGCTGACTTATGCTAATTAAGAAGGTTCAACATCCTTGCATAGATGATGGATAAGGTCTGGTTATGTTATATGCATTGGAATCGGTTTGCCTGCTTGCTCATTACATGAAGACTAAATGTGGGTGGTTGGAGCTTTATGTAGAACAAGATGTAATGGTTTTGGGTTTCTGTGTAATGTAAATGAGACTGTGGAGCAGTTAAGGGAGGTGCCACATTTCAAAGTAAATCAGAGATCTGAGAATCTGTGTGTAATCCGCATTGGCCCCTCCACCTCTCTGGGAATAATGACTCCCAACCCCCTTTTTTTTTTTTTTCCAATAAATTTGGAGGGTTAGTTCGGAGACGTCCTGACAGAAGTCCCTGTCAAAAGGCTGCGAGGAGGTTAATGTAAATGAGAAATGGTCGCGAGTTGATATTCTGTGCTGCCAGCACTTCCACAGATGGCAATCCGTTATCATTACTATTCATCCTTAGGAATTATCATAATTAGCTGAGCTCAGATCTTAATGATTTGGCTGAGAGAATCAGCACATTTTGTGATGGAGCAGGATTATCTCTTGCACTTTGTGCTTGTTTAGGATTAACACTTAGGTTTGTCTTGAATTTTTATTTAGGAGTTTAAGTCAGTGTGCCTTAAACTCCTGTGAAGTATGCAGACGCCTTTTTTATGCCTTTTTTATGATGCTGAATTTTATTTGCTTTATCTGAATGTGTAATTAAATGTCTAAATACCAACTTTTTTGTGTGTAAGCCATGTGTGGCCATGTTTTATGCCATCTTTGTGGTCACTGTCATTGCAGGTTGCTAATTTCTGTAGACTACAGTTATTGATCATGTCTGCCCCCATGCTTCAGTAGAGCTGGCACAAAACACAGCACATGAATAATTAAAAAGCCAGTTAAAAAGATGAATGAGGGGAATAAACCCTCCTTCCGTTGTTAAAACAAGACCAAACAAATGTCTGTATTAGCACATTGAAGCACAAACACGCCCTTCTTTCTGTTTGTGTTGTGAGAATATCTGTGTGCAGATGAGGGTTGGAAGATTGATTCATTTTAGATGTGCAAACCCTGACATTTAATAGAAAATAAATGCACAAAATTGCACATCCTCAACAAGCTCTCAATTTTAAAATTATTTTTGCTGTGAAAATGTTAACGTTCAGCTAATTGCTCCTTGTGTTGTGTTTGTGCCCCTCAGCGCTGCTTACATGTCGACCTGATGAGTTCCAGTGTGGCGATGGCTCCTGTATCCATGGCACCAAACAGTGTAATAAAGTCCACGACTGCCCGGATTACAGCGATGAGGCTGGCTGTGTAAATGGTAACTTATCACATGCATACTTCTTCTTAGTCGGGTACTGAAATGTTTGCTTTAAAATCTAAGTTATGCTGTTTTATTTTTATTTATTTTTTATTCTCTCTAGCTAAACACAAATGCAATATCTCTTTTCATGCAACAAGCTTCAGGATTTCTTCAGTTGTTTGATTCTACTTTATTTACCCTAAACATTTGTCTATTTAATATTTTTAATGAGCTCCACTGGGATATGCAGCACAAACATCTCAGATGGCTTGATAATCTCTAAGAAAGACCACTTAGGAGTATGGACATAAAAATAAAAATCTTTTTGTATTTAGACTAACCAAATATATCCCTGTACTGCAGCACTGTGCAAAACAATAAGACAATATCAGTATTTCACTAACAGACATATGTTGGTTTAGTGGATAACAAGGAGCTAAATGTCACATATTATAAACTTTAAAATGTCTTAAATCCACTGCTGTGTAAAATCCCTGCTACCCATTTTGTCATTTTAAAACCACAAACTTTAATGTAATTTGTTAGGATTTAGTGATTAAAAATAACTCAAAATAACACATAAATGTAGCATGGAAGAAAGACTATATATGGTTGTCACAGTTTTTAAATATATTTTTGTTGCACAAATAATTCAGAAGACAAGGAATTAGTAAATGAAGTTGGTGTTGGTTACACAATAATTTTTTAGATGTTTTTTATTTAGTTAGTTTTTTTTTTTTTGATAGCATCCTGGAAGACTGCAGACAAGTTAGGAATGAGGCTTTGAAAAACTTCAAAGCAAGGTTATGTTATAAAACATCATCAAAAGCTTGTGTTGCACCATCATCAGAAAAGATAGAGAGTGAAACAACTGTAAAAACCCAGGGAATGGCAGCTGTCCGCAGCTAGCCATGTAGAGAATACAGAAGACTTGTCAAAGAAGCTGCTTTAGTGAAACAGGGCTATAATTAAATGTGTGACAAGTGGGAGAAGTAGTTTAGAAAGTTGTCAGTTCAGTTCAGAAATTATTTACGGTCACATGTAAATGTGGCCTTGATCAAGGCACTCAAACACCAAATACATATTTTACATTTTGCTCATTTTTCTGTTTCCAGCTGAGTGAATGTGACTCTACTGTAATAGCACTTTGAGTGGTTGTTATGACTACAAAAACTGTTAAACAAATTTAGTTCATTTAAATTTTCGAAAATAAAAATACAAAGTAACCCCCTGCCCCCCCTTTTTTTTTCCATTTTCTTTCCAGTTACAAAGTGTGACGGACCAAAAAAGTTCCGCTGCAAGAACGGAGAGTGTATCGACAGCAGCAAGGTGTGCGACAATGTAAAAGACTGCAAAGACTGGTCTGATGAGCCAGTGAAAGAGTGCGGTAAGATCATCTCACTTCAAACAGACAAAACCCTGAGATATTCTGAGGCTTATCAGTTTTCACCACCTCAGATGTGCCAGGGTGATATACCTGCAAATGTATGAGCAGTCTAAATTGTGTGGGTGGTCGCTTCTCATGGAAACGGGAGATTCATTCGATCAAGGCTGGGTAAATTAGGACACTTCTCAGCTGTGTGTCGTGATCAAAGAACGGAGAGGCCCTGCTCTCTCTTACTGCAATCTTGAGCAGGAAAACGTGACTGCACTACATTATCTATAAGGAGTCATGCAGATTGTCACTTTGTCACACATAATTACCACATCTTGATCTCTAATCACACATTTCTAATTGGATGCAAAGCAAACAGAGAAGGACAGATGGAACATCCAACCTCATAATGAGATCAATAAAGTTTGTTTGTTTTTTTTTTTATTTAAAAAAATGTAAGGAACCTCCTGTAATTTCAGATTAAGTTATTGTCTTAGAGTGCTTAAAAAAGTGTCTTAAGTTTCTCAGGAAGCTGCACTGTGCCAAGTTTTCTCTGAAGTGGAGTATGTCGTCATTTTACTGTATGTGAATAGACAATTTTATAACGGCAGGTTGTCTTTCGAGATCACTCTGACCTGTAAGGAGATATGTATATGCTGTTATTATATTACCCAATATCACTGATATTACATACAATTTATTTTCATCACAAATTAATATTTTGAACAATTTCAAGTCTTTACTGCACTGTTTTTATTTTTCATTTTTGTTGAAATGGGCCTTCAAAGCTAAATCCTAGAAATCATTTGTCAGTTTATTACAAACTCCTCCTAAACATCCACAGAACTTTCTGCAAAGTTGCTGTAGTGCTAAACCTTTTTTTTTTTTTTTACTTTTATTCAGCTAATGCCACTCACCTTTTAAAAGCATTTTGAACTAGGAAATGATAGCATGTATGTTCTTGTTAATCTTGTGAGTTTCTCAAATGGTCTTGCTTTGCAGTTTTCTAGTTTTTGCACCATTTTCCACAACACTTTTCCTCTCTTTAATGAGATTTTTTTTAACAATGACATTTTATGGCTTACCCTTACCCTCCTGGGTGTGTCAGTATTTTTGTACAGGGCAACTATAAAACCAGGAATCTTTCCCATGATTGTGTGCCTCATAACATGTCCATAATTCATCACAAAAGTATATTTCAGTTGGTTTTTGCTTTACGGATCCAATGATTATAAGCCAAAATGTATTATAAGTAAATTACTGAAATATATCAGTCTATGTTTAATGAAATTCTTTAATATTTTTTTCACTTTTTGAATTAAATTACTAAAAGTAAAAACAATTCAGTGATATAATTTATTAATCTTCACCTTCATGAATAAAATGAACAGAACAATAGTTTTAGCAAAACTGACAGATTAATTTTTTTTGTGCATTTATTACAGGATGAATTACGACTTTAATTTCACCTAAAGACTATTCTAACCAAGTTTTTAGTCATTCTTGGCTTCTTTCCTCATTGTCTCTCTGTCTCACTCAAAGTCTCTGTCCCTCAGCTGTACCTGTAGCCTTAAGCCTAAATCTTTAATGTAAATCTGTAATGAAGTACCAGCTTCAGCTCTGCAGTGATCTCTCTTGGTTCCCTGGAGGGTGATTGAAAGACAAAGGGACATAAGCGGCGGTGCAGAAACAGACGTAAAACGGTTTGGAAGGGAAAATGGGGAGAATCCAATCAGGTCTTCTTGTAGACAAAAAGAGGAGGAAATGGACAAAAAGAAATGTGGAGGTGCTTGTCTGACTCTTGGCTGTTAAAGTGAAGTGGTACCTGGTTAAGAATGGGTTCTTTAACTGTTCATAACTCCCCAGCTATGAACAAGCTAATAATTGAAGCAAACACAATTTTCTGCCACATTTCTATGGCTTTTAAGCTTACTGGCCTTCTGAATGGAAATTCTGATGTATACAGACACACTTGACAGGGTAGAATTATCTTGACTGGCAGGTTGATTAAAACTATCCACACACACCATCTGGGCCGCTTTGTCTTTCTGTCCAGCGTTTTCTTTGTGTGCTTTGCAGCCTGAATTATTCTGACCAAAAAATCTGCTAGAGTTATTTCATCAATATTCAGCTGCTCTTCACTTCCCTCTGTTCCTCCGCTCACTTGTCCGTCCTTTTTCCTCCATCCCTCCCGCCCCGCCGCTCTTCTCTCCGCAGGCCTGAACGAGTGTGCAGACAACAATGGCGGGTGCTCCCACATCTGCAGAGACCGGAGAATTGGTTATGAGTGTGACTGCCCCTCCGGGTACAAACTCCTGGACAAAAAGACTTGTGGAGGTAAAGAAAGTATTTTATGCAGAATACTGCTGTTTTAATGGCGTGAACCTGGGTGCTTGTCTGAGCTCATCCAGTCAAAATATCATCTAAACCTTTTTAGTCTGTTTTTCATTCCTCTTTTTTTTTTTTTTTTTTTTCTTAAAAAATACCTTCTATATTCAAATTGCTTGTCTATTGTGACCCTTTGATTCTCTGTGTAGGAACCCAGTCTGAATCCTACCTCTCCTCAATTATTCTAATAAAACATGCATAATCCAAAAAGCAGTTTTGCCAATCATATTTTTAACCTCGACCAGTTAGACCTAAAATTAATAATCCCCCACTCTAAATTATGTTTATTATCAAAATACACAAACTAGCAGCTGGAACAAATCAAACTGAATCATGTGATAATATTTCAGGTTTTTTTCTCTAACATACAAACTGCTGCTTTTAATGACTCCAGTCTCAGAATTTGTCGACCCCATTCCGACGAGCATCTTTAATATTTAGGAAAGCACTGTTTTGCAACTCTAAATGTTGCTCACACAAAATTAATATTATTGGGTTTGCTGTTTGCAACAGAGTTTGTCAAATTTCACCATGGATTGGGAATAGATTTCTGCGATATCCATGCCAATATCTTCTTCAAAGTAGGGCTGCTGCTTCTCCACATTAAAGGCAGTCAGTTGAGATGGTTTGAATATCTCATTGGGATCCCCCCTCAGTGTCTTCCCTGGCATCCAGAAGTCACTGAAGGGATTATATATCCCATCATACCTGGGAACGCCTTGGGATCTCCAATATTGAGCTGGAGGATGTCACTTGCGAGGGGAACGTGTGGCTTCCCTCTCCATCTTGTTGCCCCTGAAACCTGATTTTAGATATGTGGAGAAACAATGGCTGGGGTGAATAATTTTCAGCAAGACCTTTAATAAATATTAAAGAATGTTTTGTTAATAAAGACTTGCATTTTCACAAAACAAATTTGAAGGTTTTTCTTTTCTTTGTTGACTGAATTCTAGTGAGATTTTCCAATCCATCTACATGTAAAGAAAACAAACATGAAAGGCAAACTGGAAAATGTCAGTTGTGCTTGTGCTGGGGTGCTTTCAACTAGATGATCTTGTATAGCAATGTCTTTGAGCAGAGCAGATAGAGTGGTGCACAGACAGGGAGGAAGGACAAAGCATCAGGAGGCACAGATGGGCAAGACTATGAGTCTGGGAATTCTCCTGTACACACAGAGATGCAACTGATTTATTAGGTTTTTTTTCTCTGCCTCATCAAAATGATTCTGGTCTTATGGGAAGCTTCACAGCTGCTCACAATATATGAATGAAATTACTCTCCTTTTCAGTCTATCGTTTCCTTTTGCAGCCTAATGTTTGTCTTGTTTCTTACTAAACATATTTTGAACTATTATAAGAAGATTTAACTTAGTTTATTTTTGTTTTTCTTGATCGTCTCTGATTGGTGATGAGCAGGTTAAATAAAGATTTGTTTTTATTCTTTGCATTCAGAATTGGAAAGTTAGACTTCAAGCAAAATCTGAAATTGGTATTGATCAGGAAAAGTGTAATCTGTGAATCTAATAAATTCCTTATACTTTCTAAATAAGCAATATCCTGAAAATATATTACATTGTCTGTAGCTAGTTTATATATATTTTTGCATCAATTTACATTCTCTTTATATTTCTCTTTCCATAGACATAGATGAGTGTGAGAACCCAGATGCCTGCAGTCAGATCTGCATCAATTACAAAGGGGATTATAAATGTGAGTGCTATGAAGGCTACGAAATGGACCCTGCCTCAAAGACCTGCAAAGCTGTGGGTAAGCCAGTTATTCACTCGGGAGAAGGCATACACACTGCCACAGTTTGATGTTCTCACCAAAATCCATTTATGATCCCATATATACTTGAGCAAATTCACACACCAACACTCACCCTTGTATAAACACCAATTACTCATCCATTCCAGCACCCCTAACTACAATGTGACATCCTACACCATTCTCACTCAGCGGGACTCTGAAAAGAGAGGCTTGTTTCGTATGCAGGGCCCGCACAGCAATCTGCTCAAAGATAAATATTTGCCATCCTTTTCTTTACTCCACAATAATGGCAAGTTTGCAGCCAGCCGCTTCTGCTTTCCCTGGGGTGTCAGGAGAAAGATGTTGTGTGGGTAAAGGGTCTGCACTCACTGCAGGACACAGGCAGGGTCTGTAACCCTTATTTGCTGGCAAGAGCTCTCTGAGCAGAGTTATGAATAAAAAATATAATCCTATGCTCTGGAATGGGCTGGACAATGAGAGGGATGCATTTCTTTATCATGAAGTAAAAATGCAGTGGATTTGTTCCCAATAGGTGAGCGCTGAACCAGTTCAATCACTTCTAAACCCCATAACTTTAGAAATGCACTTTTATTTTATTTTTTCAAAATAAAAGCACTGTTCGATTAATTGAGAATTTAGATATTCATGGTTTCTCTTTGAACATGAATCCTGATTTAGATTTCTAATGAGATAAATAATACACTTAATAAATTGATGACAACCTAGTTACTTGTTGAATAGAGTGTATTGAACAGGAGATTTGATCTAAGGTCTAAACGTGTGCGCTGAATATATCAGCAGCAATGCTGCGCTATTGCCAAACTTGAGGGCGAGAATCCAAATAGACAAAGTTATAGCAGACTAGGACCTGAAGTAAGTGACTTATAAATAGAAATGCACTGATCAGATTTGTTGCTGTTTCTAAAACAACAGTCTCATGTACATTCCCAAATCTACATTCATTATGATAAACTGGTTTAAAGCTCAAAAAAATAAAACGGAACAAATGTTATTTACTCAGTTATCCACTGAAAGTCTGACTCTCCCTAACTCACCCAAATAATGAACTGTGGTCATGTGCTGGCATGCGATAGTAAATATTATTATTATATTGAATATATTGCTAAAACATCTTTTTTAGCACAGCCGGCTAAAAGACATGAACAATGCAGGAATGAATAAGCAGTCTAGCAATTTTATGCCTCTGTAGGGCAAATTCTGCTCTATGCGTAATATATTAAACCAAGAAAACATGCTTATTTGTAAGTTCTAGTGTATGAAGATGTGAAAAATGGCTGTTCATGTTAAACACTTGACCACTCTGTTTATATGTTGTAAGTTGGTTTGTTGGTTAACCCATTGCTGTAAAACAATTTTTGGGTACTGATGATCTCTACCAGCTTTGGTCAATTCATGATCGCTGCAAGAAAGTCCAGACATTTTTTTTCCAACACTTCTACCTAACATACACGTTTATTTTTAATAAAGATGTGCTTTATACAGCCATACCTCAAGAAGAATGAAAGAATATCAGAATTTGCATATTCCTGATCAGTACCTTTGAAATGACTTAGACAGCAAATTAACTTTTCAACATGAAATGAGGGAGAAAGCATGTTATTGGTAATTATCGTCTTAGGTTAAGTCATTATAGGGAAAGCTGGTCTGGTAATGAGAGTGCTTAAAGCAGAAAACATATCCTCACTCTGAAGCTAAGTGGCATAAAAACCCCCATTGATTGCTCAGTGTGTCTCTCTGTGTGAATCTTTATTACCGTTAGGCAGAGCAAACAGCTCTTGTTAGAGTCAAAGCTCTATAGCAGCAGAGACGGCAAAAAAAAGCTGGATGGACAAATGATTTCCATGAATATTTCTGTGCCCAATAAACACAACGTTCCGAAGGAGACAAGAAGAGCGAGAGTCTAAAATATGACTGAATTATTGATTGTTCTTCACGTTAACTCCTGTTCAAAGGAAAGCACAGAAGCGGGACAGTAAATACAGAAATGCCAGCTCCGTGAAGCTGAAGTAATGAGGATTTAATGAAGCTCCATTTGTCCGTCACATCATTCCTAGACGCTCGTCCTCAGAAATCAGCATATATATAGCATTTAGTTTCTTCAGACAGAAAGAGATCATAATTCGTACACAAATAAAAGTCTCTCATGATGGAGCAGAATTACACACTGTGATCTGATATGATGTGGGCCAAGTTCCAGTATATTTGAATTTGGGATGCATAAATTCATTTTAAATAGTTCTTAAAATCCAAATAAATCTCCAACTCTGTGTGTTCTTTTATGCAAATCCCAGCATGCAGTTTATGGCTCCCCAGATTAATTTCACAGTAACTGTTAGTCTAGCAATACTAATTAAAAGCAAAGTCTCAGGTCAGAGTCATTATGTGCTTTCTTCTCTGAGCTGGTATTTGTGTTTGGGAGCAATAATTTTGATACATAGCAGCGCCCATTACGTCCCCTGAGCAAAGTTTTATTCCGCACTTATTGCAGTCGGTGTTTTTCCATAAACTTTGAGTGTGCAGCCACTGAACGACTCATCAACTTGCGAAAGACCTCATGTGTGCGTGTGTATGTGTGTTAACAAGAGAATGAGAAAGGATGAGGAGAAGTAAACAGAAATCTTTTTCCTTGTTTGATTACCTGCTGAAAATTCATTAGTTATGAATGAGAAAAATACTGTAAGGTAAAAATCAGTTGCTTTGTGGATTTCTTTTATCCTTTAACAATCTGAGTATTCATACACACGTAAGCAATGAAAGAATTTGAGAGCAAGGGAATGACATTACAAAAGCCTCACTAACAGCACAGTAAAAAAAAAAAAAAAACAGAACAGGTTGTTGCAACGTTGCAGAAACCAATCTGTAAACTGTCTGTGGACCAAACAAACCTACTTATTTTATCTTTTGTCTGTGGTGTACTGGGAGCGTTGCCACAGCGCCAGGAGCAGCGTGAGCCACACTTGACAGTTTGAGAACACACTTTTCAAATTGGGTTTAAAGCTGTGGTCAGGTTATTCCCGTGGTGGCTCATGGGACCAAAGATACAACCCGGTGTTGTCAAACTCATCTCACAATTTTTCATCTTTTACTTTACTTTACTTTTATTTTATTTACTTTTTGTCTGCAAAATACTATACATTGTTAATTCTGAAAACTTTTATATCCATATTGACCCTTGACATTGAATGATTTTGTACTTTTTCAAGAGTTTTAACTGTCTCTAAAAGTGATGTCTCACTTTTAGAGAGAAGATTTAACTGTAGCCATGTGATGTTTATATTTTCTGTTTTTGCAACCAAACACCCAATAATTTATACACATGCAGAAACCGCATATGTATATGCAGCTGTTTTGGTTGCCACATTGCACAGTTTTCTAAATTAATGACTTTTCTTCAAAAGCATAAAACCTTTTTTTCAAATTATTATTTTATTACCTTTGGAGAGATGCTCCTCTGCATAGTGGTGCAGTTGATACCACTGTTGCCTTGCAGCGAGAAGGTCTGGGGTTCGATTCCCGGCCCGGTGTCTTGTTTGCACGTTCTCCCTGTGCATGCTTGGGTTTTCTCCAGATTCTCCAGCTTTTTCCCACAATCCAAAAACACGACTGTCAGGTTAATTGGTCTCTCTAAATTCTCTTTAGGTGTGAGTGTGTGTGTGCATGGTTGTCTACCTCTGTGTTCCCTACGACAGACTGGTGACCTCTCCAGGGTGACCTCGCTTCTTGCCTGAAATGTCTCGCTGGAGATAGGCACCAGCACCCATCCCGACCCCACTGGGGACAAGGGTGTAAGAAAATGGATGGATGTATGAGATGCCTGCTATCAAAAATTGACTTGTTTGTTAAACAAAAGTTATTTTAAATCTAAATGTTCCAGGGATGTGAATATGATTTTAATCTTGGGATTAAAAGCATTATATTCCTGTTGGTATATAAAAATGCACCAAAGGACACAGAAAAATATCACTTTTTCCTATATTTTTCTCTTTCACTCAACTCATTGTACACTTTTTTTTACCCCTCTACCTACCTGATTGTTGATTTCTCTCTCAACTCATCCCACCTCCACTCTCCCAATTACATCCCCTTACTCCTCAAACCTCTATGACAACACATTCATCCATCACTTTTACTTGTTCCTGTTCGTTTCTTGCTCCGTCTCTATCTCTGTCTCTGTCTCTGTCTCTCTCAGCGGGTGAAATTGATGGTTGCAAACCCACTAGTCACAGGAAAATGATTGCATCCAAACAGTGGTAGAAATGTAATATGTTCTCCCTGTGAAGTAGCGCGTGGTAAGCCTAGGAACAAAACTAAAGCATGGCTCTGTGTGGATGTTTGTGCATGAGTATGGCTGTTTTATAATTTTTTAAAAGGCTTTAAGAGGCACTTCAGCTTCTCTGGACAGGGGGAAGCTTGACAAATAGATGTGTAAAATAAATTAGTTGGTAAATGAGGCTAGAAAGATAAACCTAAAAATTAATGATAAAAAGAAAGTATATGGTCTGTATTTTTATTGACAAAAGATTTTAGTACATCTGGACTTGTATACAATTTCCCATATATGCAAGTTTGGAAATCTACCCTCGGTACCTCATGCAAAGGCTAAAATAATTTCCACATTTTTGTCCACTAAACATGAGGTCCTTTTGTTATGCTCACTTTTAGTCTGTTAAAAAATGTGCCTAAGGGGAACTGGTGTACCAGCTAGCAACTTGAATTATCTGGATCTGAAGAAAAGAGCCCAATAACACACTTGACACATGGCTGAACCAAAAATAAAATGATGTCATGTCTGTGCTGTTGGTGTACTTTAGTCTGAGGCACATTTTGCGTCATTGTTTCATATAACAGCAGGTCACCTGCAGATAAGCCAAGCAACAGCACAGCAATCAGTTTTCTTCTTTACATGGGGGGAATGTTATGGCATGTGGGGAACGACAAATATTTTAATTAATTAGTCTATTTATGATGACCTGACCCTCCTCCCTTCTCTTCAGGAAAGAGCCCTTGCCTGATGTTTACTAATCGTCATGAAATCCGTCGGATTGACCTGCTGAAGAGCGAATACACACAGGTGGTTCCCACCCTGAAGAATGCTGTGGCCCTGGATGTGGACGTCTCCACTAACAAGATGTTCTGGTGTGATCTGTATCATCGCAAAATATACAGGTACAAACAAACATGTGTGCTCAGTCATTGTTGATTTTGGATATGAGTGGTGGTTTCCCAGGGCATCATTAGCAGGGGAGTAAAGGGAGCCTCCGAAAGAATACCCTGGGTTTTGATTGGCTTCAGAAGGCATGGCTGTATTGTCAGTGAATCACTGGTTTTATCCACTGGCAGTTAAGAAATTTGAAGGAATTCCATCTTTACAAACTGTGATCGTTTCTATTGATGTTTGTATCATGGAAGCAGCCATGAAGAGAATAAAATATGCAGCAGTGAAAGGAAAACGTCATGGCCCAGCCATGTTGCTAGTTGTCAAATGTATGTTTAGGGCATCTTTAGCTGCAACTGCTAAGAGTCTGAATAAGAGGAAGCTGAATGATGACACAAAAACAAAGTTTTTGTTGTTTCCTTTTATTGTTGCGTTTTGAAGACATTAATCAGTAAAGAATACTTGGTTCTACTACGGAAACAGGAAATGGGGGCATGGAACAAGGTGCACATCTAAGGCACCATTGGACCTCTACTAGCTCTGTCGGCACACTTCACCGAGTCTGTCACGTCCTGCCCCTTCATCTATCCATCTTGTCTGTTTCAACCTGTCACACCTTCTGCTGGGAAGCTGACACACCTGGAGGGTTGTGTCATCTGCCTGATAGAGGAAGGTGGAGCTGTTTGTCCTTCCTCACACACATGCACACGCATTCCCACACACCTACACATACTTTGTGTCCAGTTGTTAGTTGGTGTAAGTTTGATATTTGGCAGGTGTATGGAGGGGTCTTCTATCATTTCAGCTGAGCCATATGCTTCCTTTAATTTCACTGCTTCAATAATCACCATCATTACTCATCTGTTTGCACACATACACTTTTGCTCACATCAGCTCAGTGATACACTAAAGGGCTTGTGACAGAGGAAGGACAAATTAACTCATTCTTTACAGCAGACTCTATTTTCAAAGCGGTAAATAAACTCATGCATCGTAGCTTCCCTGAAAGGTCTTCAGCTAATGAAGTTGTGCAGTTTAACTTGGCCTTGTTCAAGCTTCTCCTTAAGTCTACCTCATTCTTTCAAAACAAAATGTTTCGCAGCTTGCACTAGGAAGGTCCGAGCCTCGTCTTTAGTCCCGAGTTTGCATCCCGAAGAAAGTTTCATGTTATTCTAATTAGTCTGGAGCCATGTCAGAGAGAACTTTCTACTTTGGTAGCTGTGTTGTAGTACAAATGGCTTTCTAGAGAATACTAGTTTATGAGTTGTCGTTTTTGCAGTTAAAGCATTTTAGAATGAGGTATTCTGCAGTCTTGAATTTGATGAAAATATTTACAGTATTTGCAAGAAATTAAAAAGAAAATAGAGTATGGGGAAATATTTGTATTTACTAACTTTATTCCCCATTCCATTGTCAAAGCATTCATCCATCCAAGTTTATGTCCAGTCATTTACTTGTCCTTTCTTCCTTCCTTTGGTATTTGCAGGGTACATATTTTAAACTTAAGAGTTTTAAAAGTATTTGGTCTTGAAAAATGGATAGGAACCCTTCATTAACAAATAACTTCATCTGGTACCACCTGTTCAGTCAGACATATAAAGAGTAAATATAGCATAATGACTTAGCTAATTGGACTTTGCATCTGTTGGAAAAAAAAGGCAATCTTAAATTAAATCTTAAATAGAAGAAATAGGTTTCAACTATATCATTTAGGCCAAACGCTGTTCTCAATCTCTGTCATTGATCATATTAGTTTCTATTTTGTTTTCTTTTTTGAACACATTATAAATGTAAATGTTTTGACGAGCATTTTCAAAGACGTATACAAAGTTTCCTGTTGCATGAGAATTATTTAATGACGTTTGAACACAGCTGTTTTTGCTCCAGATGATTACAGTTGCAGTGTGTGCCCAGATTTATTTATGTGGTATTACACTAAAATAATATGTAATTTGATGCAATTTTCAGCACAGAATATAGTGTGCAAGAGTATATTTAAGCAAACATTAAGAGTGTTGCATCAAAAAATAAATATGCAGTTTATCCAGCTTGCTGTGTATATTAACATAGGAATTAGCTGGTGAATAAATTTGGCTTCTAACCAAGGGTTGAATGTGTTACTTATGAAAATAAAAAGAGGAGAAGGCTTGAAGCATCCAAGTAGAGGAGAGCAGAATGAGAAAAAATCGGATGAAGTTGGACCCTTTCCCTTTTTATGCATTTTATATAATACTAAAAACATATTCATCCTCTGTTCTTACGTTTTGTCTTTTTTTATCTTAAGTTCCTATTTGAATTGTTGTGATTCAAACAGGTTGGCCAGTTATTTGATAATGTTTTAATTATTCATTCATATTTTTTCCATTTATTTCATATTTTTTCCTCATTTTCCAAAAACTTTTCTTCAGTAAATTTCCTGTTAATTTTACGTGCAAGCTGCTGTCAGTCTGTTTCATCCATTTTTTACACTTGCTTCATTCATGCACGGTCATATTTTGATAATCTTAAATAATTATTTAATTTGTTGAAGTGACAAAGAAAACTAGCATACATTGTATGCATAAAGTTGTATTTACAAATAGTTAAAAATAAAATCAAAATACCAGCTTCGATCGTTGTGTTTTTGGTTCAGTCTGGAGTTTCTTTCTTCCATTCTTCTAACTTTTATCCAAATGAGAAACCAATGTCAGAAAATAATGCATGTTGTTTTTAGGTAATTTAAACATGTATGCTAAAAATATCTAGATATTTGAACACAAATTAATTCTGAGCATTCAGTAAAACCTTTGTATTCTTTTTGAAGTGTTTTTAACGCCTTGGGAAGCATGTGCTGCTTCTCCCCATCACAGTGATGTGGTTTTCCAGACTTTTGCATGCTGATTAGCATTCTGTGGGTCAATGTCTTGTTAACTTCCCCCAGTAATAGAGATGTTGAAAACAATTGTATGGCCAATTAAAGATGCAATCTGCTCTGAGTTCTTAATTTATTGCTTGTTTATTCTGCTCTCCAGTTTGTAGTAACTATTTATGCGCTCGCCCTGTTTCTATGCAGTGTAAAACTGAAATGTAAATATCCAAATGGACATTTATTACACTTTTAGTGCCCTGTAGTCTAAACCTATGTTTCAAATCCAAGACAGGCCAGCACTACATTAATACCTGTAGAGATTTCATCCTCCCCCAATTTTGCTCTAATTTAACCCCAGAGGAACAGACTGTTTGGATTTATGTTTGACATCCTGTAGCATAAAATAATAATAAAAAAAACCCTTAGATTATATGTCATAGTAATGTGGGATCATCCTCTACCATCCCTATCACCATATGCAAAAAATTAGTTGGCAAACAGTAACACAGTCAATGACCTAGACAATCTGCTTCCAAATCCTAGTTTCATCCATCTCCGCCTGATCTTTCACTCCAATTATCCCACCAGCTTTCTCTTTTAGTTAAGATGCTCATCCCACCCAAAAATCTCCTCCTGGTGCCCCTTTGGAAATGTTCCCATGCAGAAACTGAGTTGGAGTGTAGTCTCTTACAGCTATTTCATAAGATTGGCTTAGAATGAGCTGATAATGTGTTTATGTCTTACCCTGTTTCCTTGGTGAAGAACTAAAGCAGGACAAAAAAACATTTTTTTTTTCATATTTTCTACTGATGGAGGCAAATCTAATCTTTCTGTTTGGAGAAGATCTCACACAGAGCTCCTCATATACACAAAAGTTTTCTAGGTTTTTTTTTTTTTTTTTGAAAAGTCACAGATATACAGTATACTCTTAGGCATTGCATTTTTTGGCATATTGCACATGCAGAGAACAAAATATTTGTTGTAAAATATCTCAAGGTCAGTTAAAGTGGATGAAGAGCTTCCATACACAGTAATTTTCAGGTTTTTCCACAAATTGTCAATTGGATTATTGCCTGGGCTTCGACTTGGCTGTTCTAACTCATGAATATGCAGTGATCTGTGCTTTTGGCTGTTTGTCTAGAGTTGTTGTCCTGCTGGAAGGTGAATATCTGTGACAACCATTAGTCTTTTTAAGCATCTAGCAAGTTTTCTACATTGTATTTAGCTCCTTGCACCTTCCAACTCTGACTTCACAACTGATCCACTGGCCTCTCTACTGTTTCTTGGTCTTCATAATGCTGTTGGTTCTCTAGTGTTTTAACACAAACCTCTGAAGCCTTCACAGATTGTGCAGATTTTCAATTACACACAGGGTATACTATTTTTAAGTCAAATTGGACTTTATTTAGGCATATCAAAGTATTGGGGGCTGAGTCTAAGGGGCATGAATACTTTTTCAATACTATTTATTCGCTGATGTTTACATTAGAGGTTTAATCAGTTTTTATCTCCTGTCCTACAGTGCATACATCAACAAGGCCAGCGACTCTTCGCAACAGGTGACGTTGGTCGACTCACTCCACTCGCCGGAGGGCCTGGCTGTGGATTGGGTCCATAAAAACATCTACTGGACAGACTCTGGCAATAAGAGCATCTCTGTTGCAACGGGAGATGGCAGGAAGAGGAAAGTGCTAATAGCCACGGAGCTCAGTGAGCCACGGGCCATTGCAGTGGATCCTCACCAAGGGTGAGAGGAAAGTTTTATAGTTCAGCAAGTTTTGGACAGCAGTTAAGTGGAATGGCCTGAAGGAAAGAGCAAAAGACCAAAAGTTCTCAGTTTTGATCATTCTCTCCTGTGTGAACACCAGTTCCATTATGAAACTAAAAGAAACGTTAGTTTTCAAGTTGGCCTGAAACATTTTTCCATAGCGTAGCAGTTCTTTTTTTTAAACTGATCCATATGGTGTATTATGCAGTTTATAATTTTCTGGAAAGAGACAGTAAGAGTCTTTATCTTCCTTTTCTACCACTTTCACCCTGAGCTCCCAAAAGGAACATTTTCACAGCTTTTCAGATTTTGGCAAGGTTGGAAAAACACACAACTGAAGCCAGAATTTCACGTTTTTACATGCTTAAATAAAGTAGCCCAAACATCAGTTACTTAATTGAATCCAGCAAGCACAGTTTTAAAATTAAAAGCATAAATTTGATAAATGTTGGATGGATAAAACTAATATAAAGTGTATATAAAAGGTCAGTCTGGACAACTCCAAACTCAAATGGCTACACGATTCAGAAGAACATCAAAAAATAATCAACACTGCTCTTTCTTCTATTTATTGTTGAGAGAAGTGAAAAGAACAAAGATGAAGGAAAAACAACTTGGACCATAATAAATAATTTCAGATCTTTTTCCATGTTTAATGTGACATATAATCTGTATTATCCAACTAAACAAATCATTCGGTAGAAAAAATGTAGATAATAGAAATATTGATTAATGTTCACCTGTTTTGTAGGAATTTCCATACACAGTTCTCTGACATGTGGCATAGGATTAAAATAATTTCATTGTGCAAATGTATCAGTCAGGAGATGGGTACAAAAAATGCAGAGCATAAATTACGTAGTAGTGATAGTTGAGATGATAAAGAACCATGATGACATTATTAAAACTGAGAGTTTTAAGTCTTCTTTACATTTCTGGGAAGGACTTTGATTTTCTTCTAAAACAAAAACGCTGACTAAATTCTCCTAAGATTTTGCGGAAAGAAAAAGAAAAGTGTTTGGTCTGATATATCCACACTGGATATTTTAACCCTAATTGATAAATTCAACATGCAGTACAGACAAGATTATAACAGATTTGGAGAAATTTTCAAATATCAACAAGCCAAGATTTGACAAACAAAGTTGAAATTCAAAAAGTGTTTAAACTGGATTTTACTTTAACAGTGGACACACTTGTATACGATCAGGTAGCAGCTCTGGTTCCGTTTTTAATATTTTTCCCTTCAACCGATTAGCATGGTAGTTACATGTGTGAATAGATGGATTTAGAGACAGACATGTAGCATACACAGACATAAAAGGTAGGCCTGCTCTAGCTTGTAGGATGTTTACTCACAATATCATAACAACCAAAAAAAATGTTCAGACTCCTGCTAATTATATTGCTATATAAAAGACGGAATGTTTGAACTGAGCATCAGGTGTAACTATAATGAAATCAAAAAGATATGAGATGTCCCTCTTTAATTTCACTGTGGTGTTCAACATTCAGATCAGTCTTGCTTTGTTTGGCTCATTCCATTGCTTTGCTTTCATTTACCACATCGATGTATCTTTTCACAGTTTTATGTACTGGTCAGACTGGGGAGATCAGGCCAAAATAGAGAAAGCTGGGATGAACGGAGTGGACCGTCAAATTCTGGTGTCTGACCACATTGAGTGGCCCAATGGAATCACTCTGGGTAAGAAAACATGTTCATTGATCCCCTTTAGGTAAAACAAGCAGCCCTGAAAACACAGAAACTTCAATCTGCACGCAAAGAAGCAAGCATGTAGAGTTGAGATAGGTCTAGAGATGGTCCAACCCAAATAACTCCCATAGTTATATTTCAGTCTCTATCTGTCTCTTATCAATCAAGCCAGCGAGTGGTCTCTGATTTAATAAGCTCGACACTCTGGGCTGTCAGTACCTGCCATCATCCTTTGCAACTCCCTTGGCAGCAAGAGTAAATTTCTCCAATCTGCCCTTGCCTGAGGAGAAGAAAAAGCACACACACTCACCTCGATCAGTGGAATTGTGGTGTTGCTGGTACATTCATGAAAACAAATTATTTTTAGAAGAAGGCAAATGAGCAAGTCGACCCACACTGTGTTACTCTCTTGGGGGGAATAAGTGAATTATTTCACCTTGGTCATTTATAGCAAGCAGAGGAAGTGACTGAGTCAGATGAAGGAGATTTTTCTTCTTAAGGTTTAGTAGTAAGAAAAAAAAAGTGTAATTTCTTTTTAGTGTTTCGGTTTCTCTGACAACTTCTTCAGGCGTTTGACCCTTGCTTTTATCCAAAGGATATTTCAGATTTATATAGACTGCAAGCTGTCAAATTAACCTCAACATGAATGCCAACAGTGGAGCAACAGTGGCCTTCTGCTGTGTTCAGGATCGTTACTTGATGTAAGACTCTAAACGTTCTTTTAAAGAAGGTCCAGCAGGACTAATGAATTTACTCAAGGTCACGTACCTGTCCTCCCCCAGCTGTGATATTACAGTCACATCTGTGTTTTCTCAGCGCTGGGCCTCGGCCATCATGGCAGAGAAGATTGATGGTGTAGCTACAGGGCCATTACATTTATATACCTCTCACCCTGCACCTTTCTCAGCTGACTGACCTTTTTCTCTCTCTTTCTCCATTCACTCCATGCTTCCCTTTCCTTTTCTTCCTCTCCTGTTTGGTTGTGTTCCCATTTTTTATCTCTTTTCTGCACGTTGTCAGATTTGTCCAACAGACGTCTCTACTGGGTGGACTCCAAGCTGCACCTGCTGTCCAGCGTGGATCTGAATGGAGACAACCGCAAAGTGCTGCTGTCCTCCCATCACCACCTTGGACATCCATTCGCCCTCACCGTGTTTGAGGTACAAGAAGGATTTAATTTTAGAACGCACACAAACCAGTCGGTGGTAAATGAATGCATTGGTTTGGTTTCTTCTGCCATATATCTTTGCTTTTAAGTATTGCAGAAATTTTCTTTTAAATACAAAAACTTCCATATCTATTGTGCCAAAAGCTTTCGATAAATTAATATTTTATAGCAAAACAAAGAAAAAAGAATTGAGTAGATATATTTAGTAAAAAATTATATTAATAAATATTTTTGTATTTAATGTGTAAGAAGTTTTTGTATCCGTTGAACCATTTTGTTTTGATTTGGCTATCTAGATTACTGGCAAACCATTTCAAGGATTTTTGCCAAAGGAACCTGATTTATCTCTTGTTCTTTGATTCTGTGATTCTTTGCCCTCTAGAAAGATTCCTAGAGAGAATCAAGCCTACAGCTTTACATAAAGTACAGATGTGGATAACAGCTGGCAGAAGATGCAGTTCCTTATATTCTTCCTTTTTTATACATTAGGTCAACCTAGAGTGTTTGATAATGAAAAGCTCATTATCTGTATCTCATCAGACCAAAGCACATAGTTGGAGTTAAAATCTGTGTAATGTTTAAGGAACATCACACATGTGAAGTTGGATCAGAAAAGGTGTCTTCCTGACGAGCGTTACAAAAAAACCAAACATTTAGTTTGTATCTTGCAGTTGTGGAGATTTGGTAAACTTTGGTAAAGTCTTGACTGCTAACAATGAGTCTTTGAGATGTTTTTGCTTCCTTTAGCATTTTACTGCACAGGGACAAGATAAACTTTCAATAGTTAACTTCTGTTCCCTTCATGGTGGTAGTATTGATTTTATCCCTCAATAATTGAACAAGACAACAATGTAAGATGTAGAAGTGTAGGGTCATTGGATGACCTTACGTCAAATGGCCTTAATAGTTCATATGATGAACTGTTGAGTGATTTCCATTGACTCAAGAAACTGAAAAGTTTTATGCGAATGAAACTGGAATATGCTGAAAATAAATGTGGTAATTTGTTCCATGCTGAATTCAGAGTCACAATGTTCAGCAATAAATGAAACTAAAAGTGCATCTATTGAGGATGATATGAGTGACATTGATTTCATTCAGAGCAGATGGGTGTGAGGCAGAGCAGCCCAAAGGCTGAAGTGTGAGGATGAAAGCAAAGAAAAAAAGAGACAAAATGTTGTAAGTCAGAAGTGTTTTCTCCATTCTTCTCTGTGCTGCACATGCTGTGATGAGTAGAAGCTGAGGAAAAGGGAGGACATCCATCATGTCTGGCTGAGCGGATGTGTCTGAATACTGTGTGTGTGTGTGCGTGTGTGTGAGGAGAACTTATGTTTCAGATTGCAGTGAAAGTTCACCATCTGAGATTAATAGCCCTCAGTTGTTCTGCTCTGTGTTCTGTATGGGTTATGATACAGAACAAATTAAAAAATCCTTTAGCCATGGAGGAGGTTGTTCTGCTCCTAATAACTTTACTATGGGACATTTGTTTCTTTTAAAGTGGTCCGGAACAAGCTGTGAACCAAAAAACTGAATTGACTTGTTTCGTCAATTTGTCTCTGCTTATTCAGGGTAAAGAAATTCCTGCATAAACAAGATATTTAGAGTGTTCATCAAGTTGGGAGACATGGAAGACTAACAGCAGACTGTTGGACATACACCACATGGGAATGCATTGGGTTGGCTCTGTGAGGAGTGCAGTGAGGAGAATCATGTTGCTTGTTTTCTGAGAAATTAGCTCATGTTTCACAATTCACATTTCACAATTTGCCATTGTGAACTCTTAATTGTCCATTGTTCACTTCTGTAATCTTACCTCAACTGTTTAAAAAAATGATCTTTGAAGTAATTTGAAATTCTGAACTCATAAGAAAAAGAATATAAAAGTTAAGTCTGTCACAATGATCTAACTTTAGCCAAAAACACATTTTTATGTGGAATTTGACTTGCTAAATTCATGACACTGGGGTCAAAAATTTTCATTGACATTCAAATGGTATTTTAAATTGTGCTCATTTAATCTGTTGCTTGTTTAATAAAATAAACAGTGGCATTTAAAAAGCAGGTGAATAAAATCTGCAAACATTAAAATATTTCCTGAAACGTGTTATGAAAAATACTGCTTTTGTTGGGGTTATTTTTCTAATCATGAGTGAGTTATTATATAGCATTAGTTGCAAATAAGTTTAACCTTTTTATAATTGTGACAAATTAACAAAAGCATTTAAGTTCACATAAAGCATTAATCCAGTATCTCTATACAGGTAATGCTAAACCTTTAATATGCTGGTTTATGAACAAACATTAAAAAGGAAAAACAAAGCTTTTCTAGGAAAGTCTTGACACACCATCCCAAAGCACAGAGAAAGACACACCAACACACACACAACGTCTCAGTCAGTGTCTACCCCCTGCCCTCACACAGAGTCCTGAGGAAACACAGATTGTAAAGGCTTACTGTGAGTAATGTTGTCTATTCTTCCTCCAGTATTATTGCATTACTTTCCCCCCATTTCTGTTTTGCTAGTGGGTATAGAAGAAGGAAAGAATGAAATGGGTTATTGAAATAAAGAGATACTGAAAATTGATATGTTGGGGAAGACGGAGCATGTGGCCACAGCTTTAGACAGGAAGAAAATTAGGATTTTAAACAGGCTTTATCAGTGCAGACTTAACAGTGGCCAGCTAATGTGCACTGCAGTCCTTAGCTTTAACTTCCATTTAATGAGTTGCTAGAATTGTTGCTGGATGTAAGAAACTAAGAGTAAAGCAGAGTTTCCTGTGCCCCCACCTGTTTCTGTGCAATGCTGGGTAAATATGTTTTTTTTTTTTCACTTTGCTATTGTTTGAAAACAGATGTTTGCATGTTGGGAAATGCTATTTAAAAAAGTAAACTACAGGTTTTAAAGCACCACAGAGCCCAGCTAAGTAATCTGCTAATGTTTATACAAGTTATAGACTTGCAGAATAAAAGGTACAATACTCTGCTCAAAAAGCTCCTAACAATCTTTCTGCATGTAGCGAATGTTATGTTTCACTATCAGAATAAGATTAAATAAATATTACTGATAACTTTATTATAATTGATATTTACAGTTAAAACACATATTGTATTGCAACAAGGGTAAGTCTTAATTCACTATAAGTCAACTTTATCTTTCTTTTTGTGTCAAATTGTTTTTTTCTGAGACTGAAAAATCATCAAAGTCTGTTTTCCACCCTGCTCTTTTATAATTCATGTCCACTAAGAAGTGTTTTCGTACCACTAAGAGCCGGGGCTTTGACTGATGTGATGCAACATTTTCCTGTGCACACCAGGGTGTAAGTTCAGCAAATGAAAGATTCACCTTGATCATACAATAAAGAATCATGCTGCTGAGGTTTACATTGCTACTTGAAGTTCTCAAGGTCAGAAAAATGACATTTGAAAAGACTGATGGCAGACAATCTGATAAAAGAAAGAAAGGTTGGGACTGACAGTTTGTGAAAGGCATCCAGAGAGAGAGAGAGCGATAAAGGGAGATATGGAATAAAATATCTGAGAATGGTTATATCACCACTGCTGATATTTATCTTTCATTGTTTCAGCATTACTGTCATAAGAGTAAAGGTTATCTCAATCTAAGTGCAGAAGATTGAGCCATGCAGAGTTTGCGGAAAGATGGAAAAGGGAATTCTGGAGAAAGGTTAAGCCCGCTGGTAATCCAGCACAAACAGACAGAAAAGAAAACTGCTGTGCTTGAAACACAAACCAGGATATACTTTGACACACCTCACAAATCTTTGATGAACCCCTGCTGCTCCTCTCTTCAGCCACCATAAAAGAAATTGATAGCTTATTTGTATAGCGTGTTTTGTCTGTCTCACTTTTACCGTTAAAACTTTAGTTTTTGTGATTTTTATTTAACATTGTTCTTGATCTGTTCTTTCAAAAACAAAGAATCTGTCTGCAGGTTTGTCCTTCCTATATTTCCACGTTGGACTCTCACTAAAACATGTCTCGACTAAGCATTGCTTGCTTTTAATCCATTGAACATAGAAATGTAGTCTTTACAAAAACATTCAAAAGCTGTTATAATTTTTTCACGTAACTGATCACAATTTTCAGTGTGTTTTGTTGGAAGTTCACCTGACAGACGAACACAAAGAGGAAAACAGTTCTTAATTGGAAAAAAATCAAGAGTTTCCAGAGTCTGATCTACATGTCTGTACATGAAAGTATTTTTAAAATATAGAAGTGAGGATCACAAATGAATAAAGTAAAAACCTAAGAATTTAATAACTGATGAGGCGGGATATAATATTCTACTCTGTCCTTTATAACTATTTCACACTTTCAAACAATATAAGATGAAAAAAATGGTTTGTTTATGTGCAGATGAGTTTTATAAACGAGTTGTTCGGGTTAATACTTTCTTCTTTATCTTGCA